ACCACCACACTCTGGGTACGACCCTCTAGCCAATTTGCCACCCACCGGACTGTGTATTCATCCAAGTCACAGCCTCTTAATTTGTTCACCAGTATGGGGTGGGATACCATAACGAAGGCCTTCCCGAAGTCAAAGTAAACGATATCTACCCCTACTCCTGCGTCCAGGTGTTTTGTAACCTGGTCATAAAAAGAGACTAAATTAGTCAGGCATGATCTACCTGCTATGAAGCCGTGCTGGTTTCCCCTCAGTATAATCCTTCCTGCTGGGCTCTCACATATATGAGCCTTAATAATCTTTTCAAAGACTTTACCAAGGCTGGAGGTGAGACTGACTAACCTATAGTTGCCTGGATCCTCCTTCCTCCCCTTCTTGAAAATAGGGACCACATTGGCCCTTTTCCAGTCCTCCGGAACCTGGCCCATGCACCACGAGTGCTCAAATTTTCTTGCCAGTGGCTGTGCAATGACATCAGCCAGCGCCTTCAGTACCCTCGGATGGAGCTCATCCGGGCCTGCTGACTTAAATACTTAATAGTAATAAAGTTATTTACTTAATAGTAGTAAAACTTATTTTTTCTTACTGCCCACCCAGCAAAACCATCTTAGGATCTGAACCTCAAAGCAGTTCTCTGATACGGTATCAAATAGACAAAATAGTAGCTTTCAGTCCACATTACTTTCAGTTCAGATTAAGGAAAACAGCTCAAATAGAAAGAATAAATGTAAAGTCTGCAGGGGAGAGAAAGTGTGCATGCAAGCATTCAAAGGCACCAGTTTAAGCTGTACCATCTAGATAGAGCAGCCTAAATCCCTGTTTATAGAGCACAGTGCAAGTGTTCCCCATTCAGTGTTTGGGAGAGGAGACGCATCAGCAGGCAGCACTGGAAATAGCCTGCAGATAGGGGGCCCCATAGCATATATTTTAGATTGCTCTTCAGGCTGCCTAGGCTGTTGGAGACTGCAGAGTTCAGCAGGGCAGTCCTAAATGGCTAGCCACCACAGGGGACCACAGCTCCACAAGGAACTACCCCTCACAGTGACCCCTCTCTCCCATCCTGCCCAGAGGCTTCCAGAAGAGAAATAGTGCAAGTTCCCTCTCTGAATTGCAAGCGTGTCATTTTCTGTACCCAGACCATACCATGGATCCCTACTGCACACGAGTTCACAGACCCAGGAGCTTTGGTGTGTCCTTGTCACCCTGCACAACTCTTGCTGGAGGCTGTGGGACATTACACAAGCCTGTCTGCAGATGACCCAGCAGATGCTCATGCTGGCATGCACTTTGCTACCCAGGAACCTAGGACCCAGAAGCTTAGTGTCATATATAAAGCCACTTACCAAACCCTACAGCCACCAAGTGTCTTGGAATCGGCTACTTCCACCTGGCAGAGGAAGCTAAAGCCTTTTTAATGCCACTGACTCTGGGGTGCTGTGGAAGCACCTCCAGACTGTTGAGTAGTGGTTAGGGACCCATAAGACTAGCAGCAGTTTGTTGGAGCATTTGAGACAAAAAACAGTAGCTGCAGAACTACTGCATGTGGCAGGCCACCTTCAGGTATATATTGCCAAGCTGGCCCCCTGAACTGAGCAGCATAAAACCACCCATGACTGGAGAAGCAAGTCACCATTGCCATCTGCAAGCTTACCACCTGCAACAACTTCTACTCCATTAGCAAACAGTTTGGAATGGAAAACCCCATGGTTGGAGCAGCAATTCAGGAGTGTACAAGGTCATCCAGGATGTACTGGAAAACCACTTCAACCACCTCACCAACTCACTGGAGATCAACTCTGGCCTCTGCTGAATGGGGTCCCACATCAATGACACTCACATCCCCAGCCTCTGCTCTCCCCAAGACACCACAGAGTTCATCAAGTAGAAGAGTTTCTTCACTGTCATGCTGCAGCGCATTATCAAACACTATGAGTGCTTCATGCACTTCTTGGCCAGCTGGGCAAGTAGTGTCCATGATGAATGGGTCTTCCACAACTCCACCCTCCCCTAGGCAGGGTCCCCAGCACAGAAGTCATCAGAGTCACTGTCCCACCCCTCATCATCACGGGGGACCCAGCCTACCCTCTTTTCCCTTTGCTTATGAAGCCCTACACAAGGCACCTGGACCGCAGGAAGGAACACTTCAACCACTGCCTCAGCAAGTTCCACATGATCTTCAAGTGTACCGTTGGCTGCCTCACGGCACACTGGAGGGCTCTGAGTATGCACCTTGACATGGCTGAAGTGTACTTGCCACACCTGATGGCCATTACCTGCATCCTACACAACATCAGTGAGACCAAGGACCTGAGTCTTCAGCAAGGCCTAAGCAGGAGAGAAGGTACACATGCAATGTACCAATGAAGCACCGAGGAAACATAGCACTTAGGAGCAAGCCACAGCATGCTACTGTCAGAATGCACGTGCTCAGGACAGTCCAGGTCATGAAGTCATAGCTGATTACTTTCTGGGCCACTGGGATGGGGGAGGCAGTCCCCAGAGAAGTAGAGGGTGTGGACATCAGAAGGCTGGAAGCCCTGAGCAGCTGAACCCCAGCCTTGAGTGAGGAACCTGTCCACCTTGAAGTTTCTACCTCAATTTCTCCATCTCTGCAGTTCATGAAACCACTCATTTCCTGGGGGCTTTATGAGGTGGCAAGAGTTAAGGAAGACCTTACCTGGATAGACACCAGCCTTGGGAGGGGAAAACACCTAGATGTGGGGGTATATGGCACAGGAAAGAGACATGGCTCAGTGTACCTGTTCTCAGGTGTCAAAAGTATTTTTTAATAAAAGCAACAGAATCTAACCATGGTATAAATTGGTTCCTCTTCACTTTGATGAAAGACAATGAAAAGGGAGTGTGGGAGGGGGTGAGATAACTGAAACTGATCCCCAACCCACTGGTCCCCTGAGAAGCGTTGCAGGGGTGCAGGCAGGGTCATTGCAGGAGCCAGCTCCACCACTGGAGCTGTGGGTTTCCCCAGAGACATCCAAGGAAATAGCCTGTCCTTGTCCATTGGCACTGGATCCCCCCTCTCTCTGCAAAGACCCTGACCATACAAACTTTGACCACGCTCAAGGGGTGCCTCACCCCCTAAGACCAGGGGGTGAAAGGTACCTCTCAACTGTGACTAGAGTTTTCTGTAGCAATAGGACTAGGGTCCCAGGGCCCAGACATGTCCCTCCGTGGGTCCCCATGAGACTCTGCGGCTTTATGAAATGTATCAAACTTTTCTAATAATATCCCAGGTAATGGAGGGGAGGAAGAGGGCACATTCTTTCTAGGAATGCACTGGGGCTACATGGGATCTTGAATGTTCAGTAGAGTGACTGCTTCTGCTCTGAGACTTGGAGACACCTTGCAGCCACAGACTTGGTAGTGGGACTAGACTGGGCAAATGTCTTTTCCTGGCAATTAAATAAATTGTTTTCATGATCTTTCATGCGCTACAGTAGTGGGTACAGAGTTCAGTGGTTGCCTGCCTGTAGCAAGGGTGCGAATGGACCAACCTTGTTATTGTGGTCCAGGGAGCAACTCGTTGCATGTGAGTTTGGGGAGCAGAGTGAAGGTTGTTTATAACCCTTGCTGGAGTTTGTGGGCAGCTGCCGTTCCTCTGTGGTGGATTGGGAGGTGGGGTGGGAGAGATATTAGTCATCTCTTCTGAGCAACAGAAGATTGTCTTGAGAGAAACTCAAGGTGGTGTGATTAAGCCAGATTTATTTCAACACTTGTTGATTGATGAGGTGCCAATTGCTCAGGGTCATGGGTTGGGTGCCTCAAGTCCTCACTGCAGGAAAGGGGGGAAGTAGGAGTGTGATCTAGCCAGTATTGAATAAAAAGCTGGTCAAACAGCTGTCTGGGCTTTCTATTTTGTCCAGCCAGGATGGCGCATAATACTGCTGCCCACCCCTCTCTCTTTATGCACAGAGATATTCTCTTTGGAGGTTTGCACTGCGATGGGTTAGTCTGGGGTTCTGAGCAAGGGGATTCTCAGTAGCAGCCACACAGCACTGCAAGAAGGGAACAGGGAGAGTC